TGGGGAAGCGCAAGAATCGAAATGTGTCTGAGCGGCTTATGAAAAGTTACTAAAATCATTGAAGAGCTGCTTGAAGCCCAAACAAAATACTTCAGACAATGAGAATGAGAATGAGAAAGAGAAAGAGAAAGAGAAAGAGAAGGACAATTATACTATACTTGGCTTCCCTTTCGCCTTCTGTGTTTGAATTATGGAAGTATTTCCAATTTTTCAGGAAAAATAATTTGTGAACTTCAGAGAATGTGGGTTCCCCCAGATGCTATGTTATTCAGATATGAAATCTCCACATTATGACACCCTATATAAAAAGTACTTCCATAATGAAAAAGTAAGTTAACAGGATTACTAGCTATTTTTTTGTTTATGTGTTTTAATTCTGAATACTTACATTTTTTTTTCTTATATAATAGTTGTATCAATTGCTCGAGATGGTACCATTTCTTTCTTCTGAAATAGATGTGGAGCCCACTAGTGTGCATGTTCCATTGTCTCAAGATCAAAGTTTAATGCCTTCAACACAATTTGATGAAGTCTTGCTTAAGGAAATTGTTAACGTATGTTTTCTGTCTTTGAATACCATTAGTTTTTTATTTGCTTATTTTTGCTTAAGAGACTTTTTTGTTTTTATGGTTTTTGATTCAGAGATTATCGGAGAAGTTCAAAAAGGATATGGAGGTAGAATGTACTAGAATACATCAAAAAATAACTTTATCAGAAAAAAGGATTCAAAATGACATTAAGATAATATCCTTAATTTATGTGCTTGTCACTCTAAGTTAAGGACACCATGTCCTTAATTTTTGAGGTAGTAACTCTCAGTTTAGGACTTCCTATTCTTAACTTTTGAACTTGTAACTCTAAGTTCAGGACTACATGCCCTTAACTTTTTAACTTATAACTCTAAGTTCAGGACTACATATCCTTATTTTTTAAACTTGGAACTCTAAGTTAAGCACTACATGTCCTTAATTTCTGTGCTTGTAACTCTAAGTTAAGGACCAAGTATCCTTAATTTGTGAGCTTGTAACTTGAAGTTTAAGACTACCTGTCCTTAACTTTTTAACTTGTAACTCTAAGTTCAGGACTACATGTCCTTAACTTTATAACTTGTAACTCTAAATTCAGGACTACATGTCCTTATTTTTTTAACTTGGAACTCTAAGTTTATGACTACCTGTCCTTAATTTCTGTGGTTGTAACTTGAAGTTTAGGACTATTTGTCCTTAACTTTTTAACTTGTAACTCTAAGTTCATGACTACATGTCCTTAATTTTTGTGCTTGTAACTCTAATTTAAGTACCAAGAGTACTTAATTTGTGAGCTTGTAACTTGAAGTTTAGGACTATCTGTCCTTAACTTTTTAACTTGTAACTCTAAGTTCAGGACTACATGTCCTTAACTTCTATTCTTGTAACTCTAAGTTAAGGAACACTTGTCCTTAATTTGTGAGCTTGTACCTCTATGTTAAGGACCAATGTCCGTAACTTATAAGCAGCTAACATTCTGATTCTTATTTTAAATACTATCTCACATGCTTTAAAGAAAACCCTATGATCAAAGATTGATACTTTATTGAAGCTTCTTGACAAACCTCATGAAAGGACTATAGAGAGAGAACCTAGTGTTCCAATTAGCAAAGATGCAGTTGATGATCAATGTGATGATACAGATGTGCATGTAGAAGATCATTATGAAAGCGATTATAGAGATGTGCATCTAGAAGATGAAACTGATATTGGCATCGAAATTGGGAAAGGTTAGATACAGTTTTTGAATTTGTTATCATTAAAATTTATATTCAATAGCATAATACATATAAACTTTTTTTGATTACAAATGTGTGTAGAATCTTTTGATGGAGTGCAAGTTCAAGATGGAATGGAATGTCAAGACCAGAAAAATCCAAAAGAGACAAGTGTAACAGACATAATTTGTAAATCTGGAGTGCAATCTCAGGATTTAGAAAATCCATTGGCAACAAGTATAGGTGAGATTGTATGCAAATGTGTTGAAAAAATATATGATCTATCTACACCTCTCTCACTTAAAGAGAAATTTGGAAATCAAAATGATGCCAATTAAGGTTAGATAGAATTTTCATGACATGTTGAATGTTAGTTTTAGTAAACTATTAGTAACAAGTATTAATTGTAAATATTACAGAATCTTTTGAAGCTGCAAGGAAAGAAGATGGAGTGGACTATCAAGATGATGAAATTTTAAAAGAGAGAAGTGGAGGACAATCTCAAGACATAGAAAATACCCAAGGAACAAGCATAAGTAAGATTGTTTGCAAATATATAGAAGGAACATATGATATCTCTACACCTCTCTCTCTTACAGACAATATTGGAAGCCAAAAAAATACTAGTCAAGATAATGATTTAACTGGCATGATCTTGACAGTTGCAAAAGGCTAGACGGAGTTTTTTTTCATCTTATACATGTTTGTTTTAATCAAAGATTAGTAACAAGTACTAATTGTGTTAGCTCATGTAAATATTTTGCAGAATCTTGTGAACTTGCAATCGAAGAACATTGAGAACAGTTGCAAGATAAAGAAAATGCAAGCAATATGTCAGCACTATTGTCTGTTAAAGAAATACAAGAAGGCAGTGTGGCCAACATAGGTATTGATTGTGTCCTTAATATTGTATTCATAATTCAAATTTTCGGGACATTTCAAAAATTATGTCCTTAGTATTTGTCTCTTCATTTGACAATTGATAGAATTGACGACTTGCAGCAAACTAATGTATATGTAGTGTTGCTTGTAGAGCAAAACAAAAATGAAGCTGTTAACCAATATACTAGGAAAAGAAAGAGAGATAGTATTGGTTTTGATGGTCCATCATTTGCTATTCTTACTCCTACTCCTCCGACTACACAAATGAGCATTGATGAGGGTTTGTCTATGGAGGTTGAAGGAAATATTGAAGAAGATCTTGGTCGAGGGAAAAGGAATAAGAAGCTTAGTTGGCAATTGAAATCTCCTTTTGAACAGAAAAGAAAAAGAGGAACATCGATGGCACACAATGAAAATACTCCTAAGTATACATGCTGGATAAAATCAAAATACACTCATACATGTATTTTTCATTATGCCAAAGATGGTGAAAACTTATTGAAGAAATTCATTGGGTGGTTGGGCAAGGAGAAAAGGAAAGGTCGCAAAAAAGTGTAAGTACCTAAATGTATTCATTATTTCTTAATTGCTTACATTTGTGTCTTGAACTTGTAATTTTAAATTCAGGACTAAGTGTATTGAGCTTCCAACTCTAACTTCATGACTAAATGTCCTAAATTTTTTAGCTTGTAACTCTAAGTTAAGGATTAAGTGTTCTTAACTTTTGAGATTGTAAGTCTAAGTTCAGGACTAAGTGTCCTTAACTTTTTAACTTGTAACTGTAAGTTAAGGACTACATGTCCTTAATTTTTGAATTTGCAACTCTAACTTCAGGACCAAGTGTCCTTAATTTTTGAACTTCCACTCTAAGTTCAGGACCAATTGTCCTTAACTTATGAGCTTGTTACTCTAAGTTCAGGACTTTAATTTATGAGCTTGTAAGTCTAAGTTCAGGACCAAGTGTCCTTAACTTTTGAACTTGTAACTGTAAGTTAAGGACTACCTGTCCTTAATTTTTGAATTTGCAACTCTAACTTCAGGACCAAGTGTCCTTAATTTTTGAACCTCCGCTCTAAGTTCAAGACCAATTGTCCTTAACTTATGAGCTTGTTACTCTAAGTTCAGGACTTTAATTTATGAGCTTGTAAGTCTAAGTTCAGGAC